CCCTAAACCCTAAACCCTAAACCCTAAACCCTAAACCCTAAACCCTAAACCCTATGCCTGCCAGCCTAAGGAACTCACTCAGCATGGTCAACGTCTCCGGGCCTCGGACTCGGGTCTCCATCTCTCAATGATTTAGGGTTTAGGGTTTAGGGTTTAGGGTTTAGGGTTTAGGGTTTAGGGTTTAGGGTTTGGGTTTAGGGTTTAGGGAGGCTTTAGGGTTTGGGGTTTATTAGGGGTTAAGGGATAGGGGGTTCAGAGTTTTTAGAGGTGTAGCTATAGGGTTAAACCAGGATATTGAGGTTTCTAGGGGTTCTGGGGTTCAAAGTTTACGGCTTAAGGTCTTCTAGGGTTAGGCCCACAACCCTGAACCTCGAGGTTTTGCGGAGCAGTACTATAGAAGCGTTAACATCCGAATCCATCCTGAACCCAAAGCCTTGAGCGCTCTATCACTGAATCTCAATACCCTGAACCCTAAACCCTAAGTGGGTAGTTCTCTAAATTCGGGTCCCTTTTTGGGTCCTTTTTATAAGGGTGCCGTACTTTTTTGGGGACCTAGAAAAGGACCCCAATTTAGAAAACTACCCAAGTCATGTAGAGGCCTTAATAATTAGAATAGAGTTTTGCGGGATATTAGATTATGGTTATAATAAGGTGTCAAAGTTCTCTTTGCGCCCAAGGGCTACCTCAACCGTCAGATGAACGAGAGATGGACAGAGGTCTGGAAAGAGTTCAAGGAGCGAGAGATGCCGGACCTGGCCGCCTTGCTTACATGTGACAATGTGGACCCGCAGCGCTTGGCAAGCTGGCGAGACGCAATGCAGGCGACAAGCACCACAGTCATGCATGGCGAGCCAGGCTACACGCACGTGTGGCAGATGATCGACAGACATCTTGGCAAGACTTTGCGCAACCTCGTTCAAGCAGCTCATGGATCAGGAGGACCACTTGGCCGATGAGAACAACTTCTACAATGCAAGCATCTCACTGAGATCAGGTCTTGAGTTCGTTATATCTCAGGGTTTAGGATTTCTAGTAGGGTTTAGGGTCTAGAGTTTAGGGTTTTTTGGTCGGGTTTCGTAGGGTTTATAGGGGTTTAGGGTTTAGGGTTTAGTAGGGTTTAGGGGCTTCTGGGCCATGGGAAGTATACTTACCTAAGGATACAGGAGAGGGCCTTCAGTATACAGGCGGGGAGTGTTTGGGGTCGTGGGGCCTCCATCTAATTCAGCAGCCTGAGAATAACCCTGAACCCCAAACTGTATCTAACGTCCCCAAGACCCTCTAAGCCGGCGAAAGAGACCCTATGCCCCCCTGAACCCTGAACCCTAAATCCCTAAACCCCTAAACCCCCTAAGCCCTAAACCCCCTCAACCCCCTCACCCTAAACAGGCGCAAATTCCTCGAGCTCTGGACCTCTAAACCGCGAAACCCTAAACTTAATCCTGTCTTTCCCAATTTATTTTTGGGTTTACGAGTTTCGGGGGGTTTATGAGTTTAGGGTTGAAGGTTTGGGCTTCGAAGGTTTAGGGCTTCAAGCTGAAAGTTTAGTGCTTATAGTGCCCATAAGTCTTCACACCGCTTCCATCTAAGGACTTTAGGAGGGACCCCTAATAGGGACCCTTAATCCCATTACCTTAAATAACCATTGTATAGTCCTTATATAGGGTCCCTATTAAGGGTCCCTCCTAAAGCCCTTAGATTCCAACGGCTAAGGTTGCCAAGGGCGGTAAGGGAGGCAAGGGCAACGAGTCCTTCAAGACGCACAGGCACGGCTGGGAATTCGGCTGCCCCATGCTACTGTCCTTTTTGGCCTTGAAATTATGTAGGCATTGCACAAGCCAGGATTTGAGGTTTTGGGCTTAGGACTTCGGGTTTCGGCTTTAGGGCTTTGGGGGTTTGGGTTTCGGCTTTAGGGCTTTGGGGGTTTGGGTTTCGGCTTTAGGGCTTTGGGGGTTTGGGTTTCGGGTCTAGGATTTCGGACTTAGGGTGTAGAGTTGAAGGGTTT